GGATGCACCAAACCACTCCGTAGACCGAGCTGGTGGGTCACCGTCATTTTTCGGGGCGCAGCGCCTGGTGGTGGTTTGTGAGACCTCCACCCGCATATGTTTGCGAAATTCCATATGTTGAGCTTTTTTGGATCGAAACAAGATAGCATGTCCTAGGTCTAGTGTGTGTTCAATAGTTCTTGCAGCGAAAGCAATTGGGTTCGAACTGTCTTGTTGGACAGTTGGACAGATCGTTTCCTTCATAGACTCAAACAGAACATCATTGGACGGGCTCCTCAAATTTTCGATGTCCCTCTTCATTCAAATCTTGTCGTTTGTTTGAGGTCTTTCTTGACAAGCCAACATCATCTGCAATGTACAATAAACATCTCCCCCTCCACAACTGGCCTCTCTTTTTCATGGGTGTTTTTCTTCATCAAACTAGTTGTGTTGCTTCCTCGTATGAACATCCTTTTCTATATACCCTTAACCCTTAATGGCCCTTATTTATCCAAGTCTTTGTTCATTAATGCATCGACTGTCCCAATCATGGGTGATGGGCTTTGATTCAGGTGGCTTTTTGCTCTCGACTGCAGTTGATTTGTACAGGGGCCCGGGTGTATTGAAGAGACGCCATGAACCCATTTGGATGAGCCAGAGATACCCAGAGCTTTGTAAACCATCAAGAAACAAACTTTGTTAGCCCTGGATCTGGGCATTTGGGGTACCAACGGCACGTGGAAGAGGATTCAACGCCTGTTTGTGACCATCAATGACGCTTGGGTTTCTCACATGGGTACGTCGGTGGACCCTTGCGTACGCACACTTGTGAAACCTGCAAGTGAGCAGCGAACGGCAGTGTTTGACTAAAAAGTGGTCCGTCGAGAAGGTGCTAGGAACCTTGGTGTGCAATGTGGAAACCTTCGCAGTGTGGGTCTCCGGGGAAGTCTGCATGGTTCCTTAAGTGCTCTCCATCTGCGGTTCGGCACAAAACTTTCTTTTTATCTTTATTTTGGCAGCACTTCTCGATGACCCAAAATGAGATGGGCCAAGCCTGCATTTCCTGGGTTTCCACCGCTACCTGCCCAAGTACCACGCTTATTTTTAAAATACCTTCGATTGGATACCTTGGAACCCCCTCAATTTGCAGCCTACAACGATGTGGACGAGAAACCGTCCAAACATTTCCAGCTATTTGTTGAGCTTTTCTCTAGTGCACGTGGTGCCTCAAATCACAGCCTGAGCACCCTTGTCATGAGTTTAGTCTTAGTCGATGCTCATCCCCCCCCAAAAAGAAAAGAATGAGACCGCCTTGCTAACACTCCGCGACGCTTTTGTCTGCGTGCGATGCGGCGATGTCCACAGTTCGGCGCGCGGGTCTCGCAGCATTTGTTGGGCCTCGGACAGTGGCCAAGAAGAGCGTGACAGAACTGCGCCAGTGTGGATTTGGGCGCAGTCATTGGAGGCAGGAGTGCAGGGAGATGGGTGTGAATGGAAGGATTGACCCAGAGCCAGATCAGTGGAAGTGGATGCGTCGCTGCGTTCGTAGGGACTTCTTCAGCCAGTTGGAGTGCTGGAACCACAATCTCAGATCTCCAATCTAGTGGAATTGGCTGCCTATTCATCTAGAAAGCATAGACAGACCCAGACAGACGACTCAACTGAACTGCATCTGAACTGGTGCAGCATCAAGTACTCAGCAATACGCCAATACGCGCCACTTTGATGCCAATTTTTTCCTTGACAAGGGCCCATTGTTTACATATAACCACGTGCAACCCTTGTGGCTGCCTGAACACTCCATTCTTTTTGTTTTGGGCACCTCTCTACAATGATGTTGACCCTCCAGCCCTGGAAAGGTAAAACCATTCTAGAGGCGGGAGGGTTGTTCATCAGCCGTTTACTTGACCCCTCCAAGTTGGGTCAGGTGTGTTGGCAAGTCCTCCGGTTCATCACCTGTGGGGTCCCAAAACAGCCTCCCGATCCTCGCAGCGGACCCCAGGAGGCCGCACGGAGACGCCGTCCCGACGGCCATGGAGGCGCGCGGGAAGTGGAACCGCGTGAGTTTGGGTGTTCGGATTTGGTGGAAGCAGCAAGAGTGAGGACTGAAGACAGGGTGAAACATGAGTGGAACATTGGTGAATGGTTGAAAGACAGCATCAGCAATTCCAAAGGGGTGGTTTGAGTCTCATCCAGAGAGAGGATGTTTTGGAGCACCCCCTACCCAGGCACCGGAAGTCCTGGAGCGTGGAAGAGTTTTACTGTGAGTGTTGGGGCTTAGTAGATGGGAGGTGTGTGTGTGTGTGTCCCATCCGTAATAGTACATAGTGGCTCTTATGACTGGAATCTCACCGTGATCTCCCGCGTTCGCGGAGCTGGCTTTGAAGGGTTCCTGATTCCCTTGCTTTCAATATCTTTCAATCAGAACTCTTAGTGTGGGAATCGTTCTTTTTCATCAACGGCGCAAGACCGGACGCATCACGGACGACACCAGACCCAACGCTCGTCTGTACGAAACTTTCACTGCCTCGCTCGTCGAGCGCTGGTCGAGTTCATGGCACCCGGAGTGGTTCGTAGTTCATTCCGTTTCATGTTCAGTGGAAAACCGGTCGGTCACCCGGGCGACATGACAGCAAAACCATGAGCCACATGCGACCCACAGCCACATGCGAGGTGGTTCTCTTGAGCAGTGAAGGCTTGCCTGAGGGCTCGTTGCTCTCGTTGAAGCATGGAGCCCCAGCTTTGAACATCAACGCGACGGGTTGATGCGACCCTTACTACGGACGAGGTGCAACGTCAGCGAGGAGTATGACCTCACAGGACAGGTGTTTGTACATTGTTGTTTGTTTTCTGTGTTTGGAACCTCCGAAAAGAGGCTTTCTCTTGTCAAAACCGGCCGGGCCTCCCAGTTTTCAGCTCACGGGGTATCCTGGGTAAAGGATTATTGGTTTATAAAGACATGTTTCAACATGTTCAGCAGTCTTCCCTTGACCAAGGCCTAAGGCATGCTGACCAAGGCCTAAGGCATGCAACGATGCAACGAATGCACCGCATTTTCTCACAAAAGACGAAGACTAAGGATTTCGGTCCCCCCCCAAGGCCTAAGGCCCACGTGGGTGACCCACATTTGGCTTCTTATTCTCCACCCATGTTTGTTGAGTGCTCCTTGCGTGCTCCTTGTTTCTTCACAGCAACCCAGGTGGGGCGACATGAAGCGCCAAGCGCCGGTGCGGGGACTCAAATGGGCATGGTCACCGGTGGACGGGCTGAGTCTTTGTGTTTAGGATATGTGGTAGAACGAAGGCGTGGTTTGTTTAGCATTTGTCAAGCCTTTGGTTACACTCTTTAGTGCAGTTTGCATTACAGTAGTTTTTGTTTTTCAGTCGTATGTACTGTATGAAGCTGGTTGTTAGTTCCCCAAACAATAACTGTTGGGGTTCTCTCTTAGGTCTTAGGAGAAAGTGCTGGCCACCACAACTGCGCCCCTCCCTTTCCCTTTCTTCTCCGCCTTGTTTGGGGCTTGTCAAGGCCGTGTCCGGGTCTGCGTGTTTTTTTCTTGTGGCTAAGAATGCAATAGTCACGCAGCAGTTGAATTTGATATCATCCTCAGATGTTTTTGTTTTTTTGCTTGCGTGATGTTCCCAAACAGCTGGAGGCTGGAGGCTTAGGCGTATAATTTAATCATCGACTTACTTTGGGGTCTATGCTGCCTATACTAGTATCAGTACAATCTTTCATGGTAGATCTAGACATGGCCTTTTCTAACTTGTTGCATCATGGTGGTTTTTTTCGTCCTCGTTGAGTGAAACCAGATGGCATATTTGCTGTATTCATACTAAATACATGCAATTGTCCTCTCAAATGCACGCAATAACTTCTTCGTGGCACCACTCACTTTGCTGAACCATGTCCTGCTCGATTGAGAGTATGGCGGGCCATGTTTTGCTCCTTCGACCACTAATTGGACATGGAGGTGGCCGTATCTAGCACTTGCAACATGGGAGTGGATGCAACTTGCAAACCGCTCCAAGCTGGGTTGTTGCATGGATCGGACATAGGGAATGGTCATCACTACCTTCAGGGTCATTCTTTTTGTCGTTGTTGCTTGTTTCCTAAGACAGAGAGTGAGGGAGAGAGACACAGAGACAGAGACAGAAAGATATGGTCAAGGTGAAGTTGTTTTGGTGTTTGGGTGTTTTGGATGTGGGGGACCCAGTGGGGGACCCCTCACCAAATCTACCCCAAACTCCTGTGAAGTCACGTGAGGTTTAAGCAAGCGCCCTTGCTGATCAGTGGAGTTGCTTGATGGCTCTGTATACCACTCGAACTAAAAGTTCCATTCGGAGACCAAAAGGTCGGACATGTTTGGATCCTGGGACTTCCACTTCCTGAAAACGCTTTTTGTTTGGCTGGGGGATGTCCTTTGATGATCCAACCAGGTTTGTTTGTTTTTGGGCTAGGGATCCACTGCCATCTTCAGGTTCGGTACGACTGGACCCTCCATGCCTCTACAAAACTCGCCGACACATCTCGCACCCTGCAATCTCCGCGGCGACCGCACTGGCGACTCCCGGAGCGATGTGATCTGCAGATCGAAGGTAGAAAGACTGCACAAAAAGAATCAAAGACGTGACAAGAGGACTTCTCATGATCTGTTTCAATGTGGAGAATCGAATTGAGGCAGAATCGAGCAACAATGGACAGATAACTGATCCCCATCCAAGAATGTACTAGAAGTTGTTTCTATCTTGGGGACCTCATTTTCAGTAGCTTCAACTGGACTTGCCAGATCTGTCCCCAGCTGGTTGCTTCCCCATGTCTCAGGAATGACTGTTTTCTCGGGTTCTGTGGCGGACTAAGACCCACAGCACGATGCAAGATGATGGTCCTACCCCCCCTCGATTCCTCTGAGCCCTGCCTGCATGGGGTTTCCACTCCCACTTCCAAGCAGCCAGAATGTACCACAGCACGCTTAGAGAGAGTCTGGGACCTCTTCGCTTCGCTTGCTCCTACGCACGGCCATGGCCTCGCTGGAGGGCGAATGGTTCTTGCGTGCTTCGATCATGCAGTGTGAAGATGCCATTCTGGGCAGAATCCACTTCATGGCCACTTGGGCGTCCAATGTGCACGCGATAAGGGGCAGGGCCCGGCAGGGCTTCAGCACGTCCAAACCACGCGTCCCGATGGCCTTTGTGAGCGAAATAGTTCGTTTTTTCGGGTTGAGATGAAGGAGGACGGAGGAGGAAGGTTGGACAACCCTCGGCAGCTGTCCTGAAAAAAAGGTAGATTTGCGGGTTTTGTAAGCCCTCAGTAGCACCTGCGGCTGTAGCGGATTTAATAGAAATGAGACTTTTCTGAAGGACAATACATCAAGAAGGACATTTGTGTACAGGACAATACTTGTTTGGATAAGATTGGACACTTGTATGGGGAAGATTTCATCATGAATGACAGCTTGCGAAGCGGCAATGCTGGTGCAGACAGCTGAAAGAATAATCCCAGAAAAGACCAAGCCCAAGAGCAAGAATACACCAACATTAAAACTTAAAAAACACATATTTATGTAAGACTACAAACACTCATGGAGGCGACTTGGGCGAAAAGAAAAAGAAAAAAAACATCTCCACAGGGCCTGCCAAATCCTGCCAATTGAAGTCTTTGTTGTGGTTGTTGTTGTTGTTGCTGCTAGTAGCGTCCTTGTTCCTAGTAGTAAGGCCAGGAGCCCCTAGTAGCGTCCTTGCTCACCAGGAGCCCCGAACGTAGCGTCCTTGTTGTTGCTGTTGTTGCTGTTGGGTTTTCATCATCCTTTGGCCACTCAGGACTCCGGGGAATTGGTTTACCTCACCACTGCCGGCGATTTGCTCGGCCGTGGTATCGGGCGTTGGCTGCAGGAGGGACGATGCTTGGAAGAGTTTTTGAAAGCAGGCGAGAGAAGCTGGTTGTTCTGTTCTTTGGCGCTGTTTGCTTGATTGTTGTTCTTTTTTAGTTCCTGTAGTAAGTTATTAGGAAACTGGGCAGGCTTTGCGGTATACCTATCAAGGAAGCACGCAGCCTAGTCTGGCCCCACAAAGATGTTCATCGCACGCATTCGCACGCATTCGCACGCTTGCCGCATGCGCCACATGTGCATGCGAGATCTGCAAAACAAGCTATGTTTGCAACCGCAGCGCCACAAAGACGCCTATGGTCATCCTGGATAGAATATAATTACGGGGAAATCCAACACGTTTTTGGATTTACCCATTATTCGATTTACATCTATTTACTCCAATCGAACACTGGTCAGATTTCGCATTGGTTCATATTGTATTTGATTCTATCTACTCCAGGAAGGTTCTAAATGCAGTTCATGAACTCGACATTAAGTTTGCCATCCGTTCATCATGTTTCCTTTCTAAGTTAAACATAGTTAATCTAAATTGTTGTCAGTTCAACAGTTTTACGTTATTTTCAATGAATTTTTAGAATGAACCATCTTTGAAGCATATTTCAATTTTTGTTGATTAATGATGTATGTCTTTCTGTGATTCACGAGTCACTTCCTTTTCTTTTAGAAAGCACGTGCAAGGCTATGATCAAGTGCGGAACCAGTCAAAACCCATAGTGGAAAGCCAAGCGCCACAAAGGGTCCAGACCTTGGTGTTTTGACTTTTGGCTCAAGAAAAGGCGCTACTCCAACCTGTTGACCACAGCCAATGTGAGCCAACAAAGTAGCTCAGCAGAGACCAAACCAGTGGTCATGAGAATTTACAACAGTGTGCCAATCAATCATCTTTGACTTGAGAGAAAGAGATGATGAGCTAGAAGACCAGGGAATCAGAGTGATTGACTTCTACATTGGACATGGTGATGACGATGATCATGAGCCAGAGATCCAGGAAGCTGAAGAAGTTGACATTTCAGATGATGAACGCATGGTGAGGAGACTTGGGGAAGAGAATGAGGATGTGGCCATCATTGCTGGCAGTGGAGCAGATGTAGCATTATTCCCTTGGAGTATGGCAGATCAAGGGCATCAACCTGAGCCCGAGTATTCCGCTGACATCGCTACTCTCTGTGCCCTCGAGATGGAGAAAGCAGCACCTGCATCAGTCGCCGAGGGATCAGAAGGCCAAAGCCAAGCTTGAGATCAAGGCCATGCGGAAGCACCCAGGATCTGGCAAAGGTCGCCCCGAGATTGCAGCTCCTGGAATTGCAGTCGTGAACCAAGCCATCAAAGAATCCATGCAGTCCAACCGTGAACTGTATGAGGAGAAGTCATAGATGATTCAAAAGGCCATTGATGAGGCCGAAGCTCAAGGCACAGCCACAAACCAAGCGGTCCTCGATCGATGGTATGCCATGAAGGAGCAGGAGCCCGAGTCTCTGCTAAAGAGGCCAACCTCCAGCCGCGCCGCTTCGGTGCCGGAAGGCTCTCAGCAGACTTGGCACCAGGTATGGACCCACGATTGGCAAAGAAGGAGAGAAGTCGCCGACGTGCCGAGCAACATCGAGCTGCGAGTGCCCAAGGTCGCATTGAATCTTGGCAAGAGTATGAGGCCAACTACCCTGAGGAGCTCGACTACTATGAGATCGCTCGCGCCAAGGTTTCTGGTCGACTTCGAGCCTGCAGCTTGGGATGATGAAGATCATGAAGAGAAGTTCGATCAGCCTCTATGGAAAGAAGATGGCTGTTCAAAACAAATCCAAAGAGGCCACCATCAACCTGGTGACGCCTTTGAATGGCATTGTTTGGCGGCAGGTCGAACACAGTGCTGACAAGCTTGCCGAGGACACTGACGGCTTCACCAAGGTCTTGGAGATTTTGGATGTGGTCTTCAAATACGATGACCGTGTTGAAGCGCCCAGAGCCTTAGAATTTTTTCTATGCTGCTGGACGTCAACCACAGCAGACGCTCCTGAGCTACGCCGCGCTGCAGACCACAGAGAGAAGAAGCGTGAAGTCGAACGCCGCGGGATCAAAGCTGGTTTGACGGCGGACCAAGCCATTTAGTCATGTCACAGTGTGGCAACAACACTGAGACCATCAAAGTCGAAGAGGTCTTGTACTTCTTGTTTGGCCAGGATTATCGAAGCAGTGCACCACGCTGGACCATTTCTCGGAACATCACCAATTCCTGGCCACGCTTATACAACAAGAATATCAACAGACACGCAGCTCAACAAACTGAGAAACTACCAGAACCCCCAACAAGCATAGCAACGACAATCAGTTGAACAAGCCCTTCGTGCCTTCGAGCGAGGTACATTGCAGACTTGGGAAGTCTACTCTGGATCCGGCAACCTTTCAGCTGCCTTCCAAGCACTGGGTCACGAGATCATGAAGTTTGACATCAATAATGGCTGGGACTTCACCAAGACAGAACACCAGCGCCAATTTTTGGCATTGCAGACCAAACTATGCCCTCGCTTTGTATGGATCGCACCACCCTGCAAGAAGCGGTCACCTATTATGCATGGCAGAAGGAATTGCTTCAAGCTGAACGATATGTTGAGGAGAATACACATCTTCGATTTAACCGCAAGTTCTTGAAGAACCAACTCGATGCAAAGAACCATGCTGGCCTTGAACAACCCAAGCCTGCTGAGTCCTGCGCAACCAAGACCTTTCAAAGCATGGACTCTTTGTGGCACAAGACACAGATTGATCAATGTGCTTTTATGCTGCCTGATTCCACTGGCACCCTCTTGCCCGTCAAGAAGCCCACCACGTTGGCTTTGTCTGACCCCGCACTAGCTGAGGCACTTCATGCCCTATGTCCTGGATGTCAAGAGCATCTATCACTTGAAGGATCCTCAGGCATTGCGAAGTCGAGTTATTGTGGGTTTTGGTGCGGAGCCGACCAGATCTGGCTTACGGAGTTGGCTGGATGGGACGCCAAGTCACCAAATGTCCATCTCGGGTGATCCACTATGCCCAGCAGATGCTCGGCTACATGAAGGCTACGTTGAGTTGGACCCTACACTACGGGAAGCTGAGATCGGTGGTCCCGGGGGAGCTTCATTTTGTGGGCGGAGAAGCAGGAGGTCTCTGGCTGGCTCTGTTGCCAGATGCATCGTTCGGACCACCCTCAACGGGAATCGCACCAGCACGCGAAGCAGAACTCTTGCCCAGAGGCCATGACGATGGGCGACTCTCTGGCGGCTCTGATCAACATGTTTGAGGGTCAGGTGAGAGTGAAGAGTGAGGTGGTTAGCGAATGCAACCAGGCTGCGGCAGGGAACACTGGGCGTGGAGGGTCGTGGTTGAGGGGAACACTGGGCGCGGATGGTCGTGGTTGAGGTCCGGCAGGGAACACTGGGCGCGGATGGTCGTGGTTGAGGTCCGGCGCGTGAAAGGTTGTGGTTGAAGTGCGGCAGGAACACTGGGCGTGGATGGTCGTGGTTGGGGACGAGGAGGAGAAGGAGGAGGAGGAGATAGGGCTGACATAAAATCTAACAACCCTCACCTGACAGGTGGGGGAAAAGTCAACATATATTTTTTTTGGGCTTGTGTATGCTTTGGGTTGCTACCTAGTATAGTCACTAGCATTCCAAAACATGATTAGGCCGGCAGAATACTGCTAAACCTCAAAGGACCTCCAAAAAAATGGGACCCTTAGTCGGGTGGACAATCCGCTGACTACTCTGGCAGTTTTGCAATGTTTTGCCATTACTTTCCTTTTTTCAGTGGCTGGAGTCGAACGCGAATCCATGGCTGAGCAGAGAGAAGCGACGTTCGCCCCATCAAAAAAACACATGATCCACGCATGATGGCTCTGAAGACCTGTGGGTTCGATTGACGAGGACTGGTGGGCTTTGAATTGGACATTTTCCAATATGAAGCCACCTCGAAGAAGCACGTCCAAGCCGAGCCCCATCGCTTTCGTGGCTTCAGCAAGTGCCCAGAAAACGGCAAGGTGTGGGTTGGAGACCTGGAAATTGCTTAGTCGAGACCTTGTTTTTCTTCGCAATGGCAGAAACAATTGGTTCTAGACTCCTGTTTCCACTGATTTGGTGGTCACTAGAATGATGAGATGTTTTGTTCTTTGAACCGTTTGGTTGCCTGTACAGATGTAGTAATCTTAGTGGTAGTGGTAGCTAGGGGAATATAATCTAATAGCAGTAGTAGCAGTTTTAGTCGCCGTAGTTGCAGTAGTAGTAGGAGGAGTAGTAGTAGCAGTAGCAGTAGCAGTAGCAGGAGGAGTAGTAGTAGCAGCAGTAGCAGTAGCAGTAGCACAGGACATGGTTTTTACATTTAAACATTATACCCCCAACTACTAAAGGTCTAGGATGGGAGGGGCTCTATGTACTTTCAGGCATAGGGTCTAGGATACTCACTGTGTGCATTGTAGACCCTAAATCGTTGAGCATTTTATATAGACCTTTTCAACTTTTCAGACTTGTCACCTTCAAATCAGTAGCGTTTTTTGTTGCATGATAAACTTTAGATTAGACAACTCCACAAGTGTTTGCGAAGGCATTTGTGTGATACATTGTGTGTAGCGAAGGCTCGCGAAGCCTTTGGCGTAGGCTGTTGGATTTCACACAGGCGAAGCCAACTCGCGAAGGCAAACTTAGAGTCTATGAAAGGTTGAGTCTGGCGTGCCGGAACCGCGAAAGCATGATGTGCCCACCAGGATGCTATCTCAAAACACACGCGCAAGGAATCAAACCGCCCACCAGGATGCTATGTCAAAACTCACAAGGAATCAAAACTCTTCAGACCCCTTCGGTAAATCATCAGGTGAATGCTCATGAATGTCCTCCATACTGATCCAGTTCTCAGATATTGGTGGAAAGCAGCTGAAGGTCTAAAATGGATTCCTCAGAGCTCCTGTGTATTAAAGATTGCACAGGTCACCAGGAACAATACTTTAGACCCTAGTGCCTGAACCCGCTGCCAAACAGCAAAAAATTGAAATCTTTTTCATTTGGTTCACTGGTGTTGCCTCTCCTTTGGAAAGCTGCTGGTTGTTTTTTGTGAAGGTGTGTTAGGATGAAGTGTCCATTTGAGCAGTTTACATGTGGTCAGGCACACCATTTAAGACCCCACTACGCGGTCCCAGGGGGGGGGGTCTAGAACCTCTGCTGTGGCCTACGTAGACGCCCTAGGGAAACCATAAAAGACCCCCAGTTTTGGGGTCTACAATGGGTCCCTGGGGTCCCTTGCTTGTAGTAGGGGGTATTAAACATTGAATTTGTCTAACAAACCCTTTGTGTTTGAGTGCATACTCGGTTTGCTGCCAAAGTAGCTTGGCACAGAGTAGGGAACCTTCGGCATATGCAAGTTCATTTCATGTATATGCGCGTTTCATAGGTTACGTCGCAAAGTCCTTCTTGTAGTTTGCGAAAAAGGCCAGCTGGATTTGGTTCGGAGGACCACCTGTTGGATGTGTTTGAACTCAAGTGGCTTTGCTTGGTTCAACAGAACTTCCTCAGGTTTTGGTTGCGACGCTGAAACAACAAAACTGCACACGGTTTGCGAGGGAAAACAACAAGAGATCGACTTCTATAGACATGCATTTCTACAATATGTTTTGTCATAACACATATATATAACAAACACCAACAATTTTTCCAATGTCCCTGTGCTTGCTCGTTCCTCTGAGACATTTATCGTTCAACCACTCTTTTTGGTTGCATGCCAACGTTCCAGAGACCAAGGAGAATGGCAGTATCTACCCTTCCAACAACCTCCGCGTTTGGTGGGCCGCTTCCATGCCTCTCAATCCATGCTGAAAGTCCCCTCGCTCTCCTCCAAGCCCTTGGAGGATTTGCCCAAGAAGCTCAAGGAGCTGAGTTTGGGTGTGTGTTCCATATGGTCGGACTGGTCGGGTCATGGCACTCGGAGTGGTCGTTTCTACCGGGGGGCCGCCCAGCCCGGACCCGGCTCCTCTTCGAAGCTGCGACCCCGGAGGGCTGATCTGTGCTTAGTTCGATCATATGGTGCGGATCATTGTGTCAGATGATGACCTTCCAGAAGGAGGCACTTTCCTCCACAGCTGGTGATTTCATAGTTATGCATACTTCATCTTACTACTAAGCTGGTGGGTCTATAAGGGAGTCAAGGAGCTGGAGGTATCCATATATGGTCCATATTCCTCTTCCGTATCAAGGGGTGCTACATGGCATTCCCAAACCTTTGGAACCTAGACCATGGCGATGGATCCGGGTTGTTCTGGGTCAAGAAAACATCGACTTGTAAAGGAGAACTTGGCCATGAAGCTGGAGAAGTTGTCGCAGACCTTCCCCATGATGGAACCCAGCTGGGTTCCTCACCACTTAGCAGGAAAGATCCAAGATGTGTGCCTCGGACATCCCCATCTGAGCGCTGCTTCTTTTCTTTGGTTGATTGACTCTTCTGCTCGGTCTCGGTGTCTTGGAAAAGGGGTGAACCGGTAATAAGACCCATAATCGTTCCAACGGAACACCCCCCCCACTTCTTCGCTTGAGCGTCTCATCACGATGATCCACGTGGGCATCTTGCACCTTACTTTCCAGAGTCACGCTGCTTCACACGTCCGGAACACAGGGGACGGGTGCTTTTCCAGGGTCCAATCGGATCTGGTCCCCGTGGCCACCGGTGTGGACGGAGCATTCGGTCGCCTTCGAGTCCACGTCACACCGTCGACCGATCCTTGGACGTCACCGGGAGGCATTACGTACGGAACTTCTTGGAGCCCAAACAGGTGGAAGAGTTCGAACGGATCATCGACCGGACCTGCGACTGGGAGAAGATGCAGACCCGTGACACGCAAGAGTTCGGCTCCTCAGGGACGTGCCCCTGTGGGAGGAGTCTGCTACGCGCAGCCGCTGGGTGGCAGAAAGCAAGATGTTTTCATTTGGTGGCAGAAGATGGAACTCAACGAATCCTGCAGAAGGTATAGCCGACTAGCATATATAGCCACTAGTATATTAGCCATACTTCAGCCATGCCATTGAGACATGCTTACTCAAGCCTGACAGCCTTCAGTTTTTAGCCTTCTTCTATGTTTCGCAGTCCTACAAGCCAAGCCTTGCCTCCGTGCGACCGCCGTTGCAGTCTCTCCTTTCTGCGGGACGCCGCGTCCTCAGGCGTTGCCTCCGTGGCAGAGCACCATGGTGGACGCCCTGGGCAGTCTCGGCGCCTTCCATCCAGTTTTGTTCCCCGCGAACAGCGCCTCTCGGCTCCCGGCGTGGCATACCCGCTGTCTGCTGTTGTTGCCAGCAAAAGCATAGATGACATAGATGTGGGTTTCTGACGTAAGTTCCAAAGTGAGACACTTGAAGGGTTTTCGTGGTTTCATCCACAGGCCTTTCAATATCAATAATGATGTATACGACGTTATCCCCATATTATCTAGGAGCAAGAAGCTTCTAGGGACTCCTGGCCTTACTTCTAGTAACAAGAAGCTATTAAAAACAAGAATTAGTATTAATTAGAATTTAAACTAGAATTAGTATGGCACCCTCCAAGCATCCGGGTGCAAGATGTGCAAGATGTGCAATGCCAAACAATCCTTGTATGGAAAAGTTATCTACCCACATTGGGGTCATAACCCTTTGTGCTTCGGCTTATGTTTTCCTGGGCACGGGGGTTATCCCGGTGGACACCGGCACGCGCGAGTAAGAACGCCGGCGCCGCCCAGGTTCGCCTGAATGCTTATAAACCTGGGCAAGGGATCCATCCGCACTTGGATGGCCCGGTCTATTTTCCTCGGGCCGCCATCGTGAGCTTGGGCTCCCACTGCATCTTCGATTTCTATCCCCGCATGGGCGAGCCTGAGGCCCGGGAGAGCGCGGTGCTAGTGCATCGCTACGTACGTACTTTAGTTACTCATAGCGATGCACTTGTTTACTAGTTCGTTGGATGACTTGGTGTAGTTCACCCCTGGCGGCCTTCGCCTATATGTCAAGTTGGTCAGGCCGTGAACATCGACGACAGGCTCCTCTCCAACCCTGAAAGCTCCAGCCAATCCTACTAGTCAGTCATCCGTTCGTGTCGGAGTTCTAAGTTCTAAGGAACCACGTTCGTGCCCTGCCGTGATGACCCCCAACTCCCGTTGTGCCATCACCAGATGCGGATGGGTTCGACAGGAGCATGGCTTCTCATGGGATCGCGACAAGGAAGTCCCATCCAGTCCTCAGATGCCTCCAGGGACGAAGCCACAGTTGAGTTTGCTGCTGGAGCCTGGAAGCTTGCTGGTCCTGTCGGGTGATGCTTTCACCTACCACAGGACAGTGGCGTTTTTTTGGGCGGCTTTGTATGAGGGAGGTTAGGTTGTTCCCTGCTGCGAGCTGGGCGCTACTAGGTTTGATCAAGGGCCTGAACTCTGGTAGAAAAAGCCCTGTCCACCTCACCCTGAGCCCAGATCTTCATGTTGTTAACTGTTGTACCACTGGCTTCGCGTTTCACACGCAGTGCCAGCCCAGCAAGCTCTTCGGACAGGCGTTTTTTGCATGCAGCTTGCCCTGCCTTTTCCTGTCTACTTGCCCTTTCCTCCAGGCATGGAATCAAGGCAGTGGAGGAGGATGAAATCACTGCGGAGGTGAAGAATGCCAAGGACATTGGCCTCTCCGTGGGAGACTCTTTGAGACGAACACGGAGGATTTCCCTGACCATCCGACACTTGTTGCCACGCTGCAATTGCAGCCCGGTCTTTTAGCGGCGTGACCACCCGGTGCGGAGAAAAACCATGGGAGCTGCAAGGCCTTGCGCGTCCGTGCGGAGAGAACCAGGTCCTGGTGAGCCATAGGTGAGCCGTAATTTGAACATGTTTTGTTTGCAGAAGGCCTTGCGTTGAACACACCTTTATATTGTGAGCTCACTTAATATCATTTAATAAGACTGGTTATCGTGAATGACCTTTTGTCAAGCCTAGAATGCTATGATCAAGCCTTGCTTAGGCTTTCAATTGGGGTTGCATGGGAGCCTGGGAGCCTCATTTTGTCCTCAAGTTTCTTCCCTACTGATAATCACCCCTTTGCCACAAGAAGTTCCCTTTCAAACAATTTGCATGCCGTGATACTTATGATTCCATATACCAATCACAGCTATACAAGCACGCTGGTTTTTGTGAGCCCCATCCCTCCCACCTGTTTCTTGGAACCAACGTATCAGCTATCACATGATTGAATGGTCTGTACCTTCTTGTTGTACTCCTGCTCAGTTCCTGACCCCAGTGCAAGAAACACACCTGACGGCCTTTTCACCAGCCAGAAAACGCCCACACACGTGGCGTCGCCCGGGTCCGCTCCAGACCTCCGTTCGGGGCCGCTCCGGACCGCCGCTGAGGTCGCCCAGGCAGGGCAGCACTTCCGCTTCAACGACTCGGCGGCGCATCCCATGCACATGAAGGCGGTGGTTCACCCGTCGAAACCGCTGGCGGTGGGGGTCGGAGGCGGTAAAGCAGACGGTAAGGCACCAGGCATGTGTTTGGGCACGAAGGTCGAGGTGCGATTCTCTTTAGTGGATAAGAGGGAGATGGACTTTTCGATTTGTTGGGCTTGGCGAGATGGTAGTGACTCAGAAAGATACTGCTCTTAGAGCAATGCTGGATATGAGCCGTTCGTCCCGCGATCTCAAGAGGATCCTTTCGCTAAACAATACGTCCACGGTCTCAAAATGAATAGATCCATCACGGGGGGTGATTGTCCACAGACCATCACCATTCATCCACTATGTTCTCCGAGATTTTGCCGTGCCACCATTTGGCGTTCTTACGCACTCAAGCAGGCATTGGTAATACTCTGCTTGGGAAACCATGAAGTCTGACTTGGCCCAGGGCTGACCATGGCAGACCGCATGGACACTCAGAACCATCGGGTCTTTCCAAAAGAAACAGGTTGGCTGATGAAGTCCATGGTGGAACGAGCATCTTCCTTTGGGTAGCGAACCTCGATTTGTCGTAGCCAGTCAGTGGTTCACCAGGCTTGGCTTTCTCAATTGGACATAGTTGCTCAGCCATGCTTAGGGCTTTGGTCCTGCTGCCTTGTGGCATCTTTTGTTTGTTGCCTTGCGTGGAGCCATCCAAACCTTCCACGGATGAAACAAGAGCTTTTTCTCGAAGCTGTCATTGGAGTTGGGATGATGAAAGCCTTTCGCAGTCTCACTTCGGCATCAAGACCGAGATATCATGGGCTTTTCTGCGTGGAACCTTTTGGCCGTTTCGCCCTACCCTGGTCGTCAACGACATCTCGGCGTGTACATCAAGATGGCCAGAAAGTCTATCGCCCTACCCGTGCCAAGTTGGCCCCCAAGCGGCCTCCAAGCTGTCGGAAACCACAAGCACAACCTCAAGACGGCCAGAACCTTCAACCAGCCAATTGATTCTAACCAATTGGCTGGTTGAAGGAGCTGGCATCTCAGAGCAGTCGTTGCATGTTTGTCAGCTCCATGTTTCGGGTGCCCGTGCCTTTGACCTGTCGATTCTGTCCTGGGATGTCTCCAAGCTGAAGAGGATGTACTCAGTACTGCATCTTCCAGAATCTCAATAGTTTGAACCAGACCATTGGTATTGGAATGTCTGAAAGATGACGAGCATGTACCCCATGTTTCATCATGTTTGCACGTGGCACTCTGGGCGTTTGTTGCTGCTGTTTGCTGCACTGTCGCCATGTTCCTCTCTGTGTACCTCAAACTCTGATGTGATCCGTACTCTGCTGATCGCTAGAAGCAGGCGATCGAAACATGAGATGCCTTTAATTCATGGCTTTCCAGAGCCTGCGATGTGATGCCCACAGATGGGCATGCCAACCCGGGAAAGAGGCAAAAGTGTGCTGCAATCTTCAGGAGACAACGGGTCAACGGTCAACGGTACGCAATCATTGGTGGGTACAGCAGGGGTTGCTTACGGTATCATATGTTATATGGTAACATATGTTAAATATAATTGCATGTAATTACATGTACACTCTAAATATTGGATGGATAGCAATCTTACTATAATTGGCCCTGAATTAGATCGAACCTGAAGTACTGTAGATCAAACGCACTATATTCCAAATCCAGGAGCATGTTCTTATATGTTTGTTTCGGATGGTCCTATAGATTCGACTGGTATCTCCATTTAAATATGTTGATGCTTGTCTATGGTTCTCGTGTGACATCAAACGACTACATTGAGGAATCCTTCTATATAATGGGCACTGTGAATGAAGGCCAGTGGATCATCGCACCGGGCCATGGATGGCATTTCGCACGGTCAGTAGCAGAGTCGAGATGTTTTAGAAACAGGGCCAGTGGGCGCAGTTCACTGACTTGTTACCTTACCTCAAGTTGGCCATCAACATCTCTCTTCTCGGCCAAACGTTGGGTCGTTTGGAGCTCGTTGATGGTCGTTTCCTGTCCGCTGCGTCTTGTGTCTCGTCGAAGTGCTCAGGTTGAAGTGCTCACGCCCATGGCGCCACCGCAGATGGTGCCCATCGACCCAACTCAGGCGCGCGCCACGAGCAGCAGCGGCGCGCGCCACGAGCTGCGGCAGTCGTTGGCTCATTGGTGAAAAGCCGGGAAATCTGCACGTACTGCAAGGAATCTGTGCAAACACCTTCTGGATTGATCTGGATTGTAGCTTGGCCCCTGGAAGCTTTGATGCATGCCAATTCAATTGAACGTCTCATAGGCTCCTCCATATATGGAACGGAAGTGATTGTCCACGCCCTGCGAACGGTGCACCAGGTGGGCCCAAACCGCACCAGACTCCCACCACGTTCTGAACGAAACCATACGAAACCCGAAAAATTCGGTGTCTTCGTGCGTGAAGTCTTTCATGACCCCAGCTGATCGTTTTTCCAACTCTCGGCTTGAGTTTGGAAGAGGGTGGATCTCATCCAACCATGTATAGTGGTCCCTAAATAGATAGAGGATGATAAAGGATGATAAAGGCAAGCTTTCCAATACGGTTTTGGTGGGGTTCTACGAACTTCTATTTATTTGGGTCTATACGCTCTTTAGATGAAAACACAATAGATAAAGTATATTATACTAAAATATGTAGTTTTTCGGCTTGTTTTCAGTGTCCATTTGATGTAGGTGCCTAGTCCATACACGGATCATGGATCGTACATGATCGTGCTCTTCTTCCCTGTGCTAAGAGTCTTACTTTATTCCCCAGATAGCGATAGCTACAGTGAGGGTTCTTACTTCATGACTGGGTGATTTCCTGGGGTGTTCTGGGTGTAATTTTTAAACGTCAGCCTGAAACATGCCCAGACTTCACCCACCGCGACTCGGGTGGGTCGACTGGCCGCGCGAATCCTCCTCGCGACGGGGATGGCGAATCCTCCTCGCGTGGCTGGAGGATCTGGTGGACGGTTCGGTGGACGGTGGCGCCTTTTTGATTGGCCAACGTCTGTGGTTTTACGGTTCCGGAGTAGATGGATGGCGCGTTTCGATGTCCTAGACAGATGGGGGGGTCCATTTGGGGTCCATATATATATATATAGAAACCACCGACATTGGGGTCTGTGCCATTGGTCCTCTCAATCCACTATATCCCCTAAAGCTCAGAGCTTTAGGGGCTAGACTTTGGACATCTGATATCTCTACCAGACCCGTTCATTCAGGGGTGCGGGGTGCGGGCTGTGAAAGACCAAACCACCCCTGATTCCAAGGGGTCCAAACAACACTCCGGATTCCTAAGGGGTCTCAGGGTATGATAAAACGACATAGAGGACAACACCACATGGGACATGATCCTTCAATTCACCTGTCGCCAGTTGGTGGTATGCCTCGCCTGTCACATGACCATGTGTGGGGGGTCGACGGGTCCAATGTCATCCAACAGGATAGATATCCAACATGATGTTTCTGGTGGAATATTTATTTACAGGATATCCTCGGATAGAGAACATCTCCTTCACTTGCCAGTTTGAGTTTGCCACTGAAACCAACAGATCCACAAATTCATTGATGGAACCAATGTCTTGCTCCTGAGTTCTTGCTCCTGAGTTCTTGCTGTCGTGCTTGTCAGTGAGGAAGTCTTCGAAGTCGCCTTCGACTCCCGGATGAAGGCGAAGTTTTGTTTCGCGCAGAATGTAAGAGGAGACAAAAGCCAGGTGGCATGCAAGTACTACGTACAGCAGTCACAACAGTATATATGTATATAGCATGCGGCATGCGTGCCTGTGTCAGAAGTATGTCGGGTCATGTGTCAGGATTGTTTGTGAGTACAGTGGTGCCAGAGTAGATGGCACAACCCCCAAGATGTCCTCTATACAAAGGGGTCCATCTAAACCACCTTTTGGGGATTGTGCCATCTACTCTGAAACCATTGTACATAAATATGTCCTTCGTGCAGATCTTGGAAGAGTGGATCACTCATGTCGGGGGGCGGAGACTAGTCAAATAGGACAGAACAAAAAGCAACGCGGATCCACCGAACAAAGTCACACACAACTTCGCCTCCTTCATATGGACATGTCCACAGACTCGGCTCAAAGGTTCTGATCAATGATCAACAAAAACCGCTGGTGGAGTGTCTTTCGGCTTTCAGGAAGTTGTGGTGTTTTTGTTCGGGAGATCGTTTGATATGGTTTGGGTGTTTGAATTCTGGCACTTCTCAGTCTTCAACACGACACTGAACACTGCAGATCTTTCAGGTCAATGGATCTACACTCCCAGGTCAATGGAAACGTGGATGGAGACGTGGATGGCATGGCTTGTTGGACCAAGACATCCGAAGACCAAACCGATGGGTTTTCCATGGTTTCGTCCAAACCTCGGATGGATACACGTCCCCATCCAACTGCCAGCTTCTTCACCTCGCATGGTCGTCGCATCAGTCGCCAGGTGAGGCTTCAGCATCGCCCCGCCGACAGTGAGCGTGCGGTGGTACGGGGACGCAGCCGAGGGGGGGTGATAAGACGGTCCGAACATCACCGCTTGGTTTGGGACCGTGGAGTCAAGTGGTAGCAGTTGGGACCATGGAGTCTCGGTTCAGATGGTGACAAGGCTTGCAGTTCAGACATGGGAGGCACTGGGATCGTTTCAGCCTATTGAAGTTCCCTAAGAAGGCCTTCTCTTGGGCTTCAAAAGATTGCCTCCAAATCCGACTCGTCCGTTGCCATGCGCGACGGGTGCGCGATAAGGTGGACATCAAGAGTGGAAGCAAAGGTGGACATCCGGTGGGGCATCTCAGGGTCTCCATCGTGCCGGCGTCTCCGCACCCGGCACCGCCCGACTCCGCGAGGAAGATGGTTGGGTGCCCAGGGAAGCCAGACTCAGGAAAAGAACCTTTGATAAACCTTGTTGGGGTTGGATGGGGTTTCCCATGGTTTCCCCCACCGAGTGGTCAAGCAGGTGGAACCACAAGCTGAATCAGGAACCGTCTCATTTCGAGCCGGTGAGGGTCTCCCCTCACGGATCGCTTCAACAGGCTGCTGGGAACACCGACAAACATCGACTAGAGCGACGCGCATATATCGACTAAGGCGAAATAGACATGCGACCACCAAGCGGTTCAAGTGTGTAGCACTGGTGGCGCTTGCAGTACCTACACTGCAACAGCTGGACAGGGAAGGCTCTGAGTCCGCCTCTGACAAGTTCATCTTAGGTAGGGATCAAAGCCAGCCTCAGTTTGCATTTCCCAGAAGAACGATTCTTCTCATGTCCGGGTGTGCAAACCTGGGCATTGACTGAACCGGAGCTACATTACCCGACCCCCCCAAATCCCCAAAGATCAATCCATTTGGAGTTAGTGGCGCAGAGGAGTGAACTGACAGCTGTCGAGGCTAGCCACGGATCCAGTCTGCCGCGCCTGTGGGCAGTGTTGGCTGCAGCAAACAAATACTATATCTCTGACACAAGTCTCAGGCCAGATGTGACATGTTCTCAAGAATGCATTTATAGGGTTGTTTTCAGTTTTTTTTGTCATAAGTGCAGAAGGACAAACTATAAAAGCAGTGCTGAGGTCTCCGTCTCAATGCAAAAGATGTTATGAACGTGAGCAAAAGATGTTGTGAACCCTCATTAGGTGAATAATTGCCTGCTGATTCCATCCGTTTGGCCATGTTATGTTCTTCAGATCCGTCCGTTGGGCCATGTTCTTCAGACAAGTTCTCATGTTCCGAGCACTGTAGCAGCAGACCAAGACCTCAAACCCTAAAACCTGTTGTGCACCGGTTGGTTGGTGCATCCTTGCCCTACAGTTACTTCCCCGTTCGCGCGCGGCCGCAATGGGGCTTTGATCCAGTACCACGCTCTCGCGACTGCCCAACATTCTGGGGCGATCTCACATCATGCTGCCAGAGTCGCTAGAGCTGCCAGAGTCTCTGAGGAGGATGATTTGGATCCATCTCAAAATAGTCCAGAAAGACAGGTGACAGGAAAGTCGTTCTTTTCAAACCAATAGATGATCATATTCATATTAGATAGATGCCATGCCCGGACTTGGGGTCATTTGGGCTTGGCTCCAAAACAGCTTGTTCTTTCGGGTCGCCCGGACTCTCAATTGATCCAGCGAGCACCCTGCCGCCCGTTAGCCAGAAACTGTTCAGTTCCCAAAAGGCCGCCTCTCGAGGGTTTGGAGGGCATTTGGGAGGGTGGGCAATGCAGACCAGTTGAGTCGATTCTACCCTCCAGTAGCGTCAAGAGTCATGTCTTGTGTTCCTTCGCCCAATCTCTTCAGTGTTGCTTGCGATCTGCTCGTTCGAGCCGGACGGTACACTCTCTTTGATTCGTTTCAGACTCGTTCCTGACGTCAGTTCGCAAGGTCAGACACCAATGAGATCTCTGACGTGTGCAGTTCCACCTGCGAGTCGGAAGGTCCTGTGCGAGAACGGCTGGCCACTGGGGCGGAAAGGAGAGAGGTCGGTCTGAGAGGTGCAGTCGGTCTGAGTCATCTACCTATATTATATAATATATAAACGCTTGGACTACAAACACTTTGTTTTTTCTGATCGTCTGAGAGTCCACAGTCCAGCATTTGGACAGGAATGGTCAGATGTTTCATGGTTCTGGGAAATTGGAATGTACTGAGATTGACCATGAGTTTCGTGTGTTTCTCTTGAGCCCGCTTTAGGTGAACAAGAAGTTCTTGGCAGCGGCGCTGGGCAACTGGCTACCTTGTCTTTGACTGTTTTTCTTTCAGGGTCGGGGAGAGTCTTTCCATGGTGTCCGCATGGACAGCATATTCTGTGCTGACCTGGCTATGGCTATAGGTGGCCTCATGATTTCGCTCCTGCTGAGAGAAATCATGCACACCAACACTTGTTTCAGATCGTCCAGGTTTTCTGCAAATTGTCCTACTTGAGCGGCCTGAACTCGGCACGAGAGTTCCTCGCTCGGTGGCTCCGTGTGAATGGTCTGGTCCGACGGTTTCGGATGGTTTCCGACTTGAAAAGACCTGGAAGATGAGTGTTGTTTTTTGTCGCAAAAACTGTCAGGTTGGAATGGTATGACTTTGGGGTTTATGCTGCTGTGCCTGACATCTTGGGGGCGCACTTCTTTCCTCAAAGCGACCCATCAGCAGCTTGGTTTCGAACCACCGGAGGGCCCACATGAGAAGCAGGTGGGACCGCCAAATCCTTGAGTTTACCCTCACATATCCTCACACCCATCTGTTGCGGAAGAGAATGGACTCTCAAGGGATGTGTGAGGCCTCACACGCGTCTGGGTCTTGGGGGTCCTTTTCTTGGTAGGTTGGATCTGATGATGGTGAATGCAATGGAAGAAATGCCAACATTTTCCGACTCTCTGAAAGAACTCATTGGTGAGAAGACATGCCGACAGGATTACGGCAGCCAGATTTGAGATAGGCAACCCACCCTGTTGTGACCCCTGCAGCTGCAGTCGGCTGCAGTGGATCACCCAGGGCAATGACAAATGCAACAACAGATAATTAGCCATACAATGCCATACAAACCATTACATGAACAGAATGCAATGACAACACCAAGCACAGATCCTACGACAGATAAGAAGCAATGACGCATACAACACGCAATGGCAACACCAACAACAGACAAGAAGCAATGACGATGACCACCACGACAACACCAACAGCAGCAGCAACAACGACAACAGCAACAACGTCAAAAACACACCAAATATAACCACGGCGCATCCCGCCAGTAGCCCGACACGACAGCAGACAAGAAACATTGACATACACAACGGCAACACCAAACACAAACACAACACACCTGACAAGACAAGCACAAAACACCACAACGGACAACAGACAATGACATAATGCTTCACAACACGCAAGGACAAACACGACAGCAAGCAGCAAGCAATGACACACATAATGACAACGCCCAACGTAACCACACATACTGGCCTAGGATACCTTTTCAGTGAACCCCCCATCCTACCAGTGTGCCTGAGCGGGTGGGGCTAGCTCAAAGCAAAGTAGTTTTCAGCGGCATTTGCGAAGATCCACCAGATCCTTCGATCAGGGGTGCTGTTCCGTCGAACAGCCTTAGTCAATCCAATTCGCTGCTTCCATTCGTCGTGGTGCTCTGGTGAATGGCTTCCAAGGCAAGATCCTCTTGACAGTCCTTAGTATCCTGGTGACCCCCCCAGCTATGTCAGCTATGTATCGATCCTCTGGACCTCTGGACTCAGGTTCAGATCATGCACTCCTTCATGGCCTTCGCTGCCGGCTACCTCACACGCCCCGTGGGTGGAGTTCTCATCGGCACCCTGGGGGACACGGTCGGGCGCAAATGCGCTCTATGGACGTCCATGTTGTTGATGAGCCTTGGGAAGCAGACCTAAGCCCGGGCTGCGGTGAGGAGTAGCTGCTGCTGCGGAGCGATGTTCACACGTGCACTTGAGGTTCGTCCATGTACTTTTGTCGGTCTGTGAGACTACTGTGTCGGTCTGTGAGACTGTAGAGAGGATTTGATGACATTTGCTTTTGAGGCTCCCGCATGGGGCATTATAACTTGGCAAGGCATCATTCCATGTGCATCCGCTCCAGACATGGCTTTTGGGTGACTGCATGTTTGCAGGTGTGGTTCAGACTGCGCAGCCGAAAGCTTGTCTCAAACCATCTCAAACCCATTATAGAACATCTCATTGGTTTCAACATGTTTAAAGTATTGTTACGACACCCGTGGGTAGCCCTCCCCTTCAAGACTTCAGCTCCAAGAGCTTCCGACTCTCCCACCTTCAGCTCCAAGAGCTTCAGCTTGAGAAAAAAACACCTTTCAGAGTGAATATGTCTTTTGTGTGGCTCTTGAGCCGATCGCGCGAACTGCCAACAATGTGCATGTGCAAAACATTAAAGCAACCTTGGAAGCTGCGACACCAGGCTGACGTGTGCACCGGACCAACTGAAGCATCATTGAACCACAACACCCCTAAATACTAAATACATCTCTGAATACCACTCCACAATTTTGGATCAACACACCGAACCCCCTCCCAATCTGTAGTCAGCCGACACACTCCTTCCCGATCTTTCTCCAAGGATGTGTCCCACCGTCTTCATTGGCTGCTTGCCCACCTATGCGCAGATTGGTGGTCTCTCTACCGCTCTGCTGGTGGGCCTGCGTCTCCTACAGGGCATCGCCGTTGGAGGCGAGTACGTGAGCGCACTGGTCTTCAGCATGGAACATGCCCGCTCGGGGCAGAAGACAGTCTCTGGTGCGCTAATGTGCTTCGGATGGATGGGAAATGATGGGAAGATAGGAAGGGGATAAGGGGGGGGAATTTCGACAGGAAGGGATGGGCAATGGGGGTCTTTAAACTGGTTTCAAAGATGGTTTTAAATCTCCACTTGATGTGGGTGTATTCCCATTCCAAGATGATGCGAGATTTCATATAAAATCCCTGGGAGTTCGGAGGAGTTCGGCGACTCTGGAAGAGCCAGTTCGGCGACTTCTCCCGGCGGCCACACTTGGCATAGCTGGCTTCCGACCTGAAAGATGTGTAAGTATCCACCAGCCTTTTTGAATCAATCCGTACCTGAACATACCATAACCTGACTGAACCTTCCAAAAGCCCAGCAAAGAAGAGCCAACACGTCCAGCCAAGGACACTTCTGTCAAAGTCGACATAGATCATGATACGTTGCAGCACAGGTTGATTTGGGTGTATAATTGCTACTATAGGTTGAAGGCCATCGCTAGTAGGTTGGAGGCCATCGCTACAGGTAACAAGGTTCGCTACATCCGTAGCAACGTGTATAATCGACATGGATGTCGCATGCCCAAACATCGAGCCACTCTTGATTCCATGTGCGTCTACCTTGGTGTGTAGCCTTGGCTCGTTCGGGTGAGGTCCATCTCAGTGGCTTTGGGCACCTTCAGTGGCTTTGGCGTGGTAAGTCTTCTGCAGTGGCTCCTGAGTGAAGCGCAGATGCAGAGCTTCGGCTGGCGCATTTGCTTCTGGCTGGGTCTGGTCGTGGGAGTGGTCGGGCTCTTCTTGCGAAGCCAGGCGTGCCCCTAAGTTCCTGGGGGGGATGTGGAGGGCCATAGTCGGAGTAGTCGGAGTAGTTGTGCGGGCTTCGAGGTCGAAACTGGATGCCAAAAGCATGTGAGCCATAATAAGATCAGAGATGTATGATTTGACACTATATTTGAGGCAAGAGGATGTTAGAGAGATATGGACACACCAACCTTGGTCACTGGATGTCACTGGTGAGTACATAATTTGTATGCCTTTTTGCGGCGCCTGACCTAGAAGACCATTGGAAGCCAGATGAAGAGAGGCTATCTTAATGAAGGTCACCAATCAACTGAATCGACACTGTCGAACCTGCTGCACCCACGCAACTGAAGTCTTGTATCGTGAAACTCTACCGCTCGTTTTGGGAAGTGGGGGATATACATAACTATATGTGTAACTTCATTCTACGCCATGACTCTCCACTGATTCATCTTTCTGTTCGAGGCAAAGACGTGTTTTGAGGAGAGCTGAAGGAAGGCCACAGACGGCCCTTCAGCTCTTAATCGGGCCGACCTCACCAGCGACGAGCGACCGAGAGAACGCACCGACCACATCGAGGAGTTCCCTCACCCCGAGCACCCTTCGCACCGACCACATCGCACCCGACTCGCACCGACCGGTGGGTGAACGTCAAAACTATTCAAAACCCGCAGAAGATGCGATGAGTCATGTGGAGTCATGTTGAGTATGCGATTTGGGGTGTGGGGTTCAGGGTCAAAAACACCTCAAAACCATTTCACATGCGAACATGTATGAAAGCCACGCCCAAAGAGGTCGCTTCAGAGCGGCTCTGGGAATTCCTCGCCACGCCCAAAATCTTTTGATCTGGAAGAGAGCTGCCGAAAGCTTCTTTGCTTGTACGATGTGGCTCCAATCCGCAACAACTAAAAACATAGTATATAAATGGCTGTGGGTTAAAACCAGGATACTTCGGTTGACCTATCTGGGAGGTCAAACTACATGGTGTTGGGGCTCCAGGTCTTGACCCATCCCCATGTGTGTCCTCATCTTTCCAAGTCCCATGTCCTGACATGGGATACTGAACTTCACATGAGCGTGGCTCTAAAACCAATATGCCCCAATCCCGGAGCTAAGGAGACATCCGCCAAAAGTATCCAAAAGTAGGATCCCTTCAATTCTTGGGGTCCATGATGGTCCATTGGTAGTTTGCCAGCACCCCTTTCAATACTTCCCCAGGGCTCCAACTACCTCTGAGAAGTTTGTTGGGGTGGATGTGGGGGGTCTAACCACCTTCTGGGCATATGGTCCATGGTTGCAGCCTTAGGGACCATTCTTGCTCAGCTGGTCCGACACAGACACGCACGCACGCACAAGCGTCCCGACGTGCAGGTCTCGGAGCCAGAGGAATATATGGAGGCCAGGCAGGTTGGACAGCTGGTGCAGCATCCCTTGTGGCTTGTCCTGTTGTGGTTGCGGTTATTGCTTCGCCCGCGGCAATGGCAATGTGAAAAGCCCATCGCTTGGGCATCGTGCTGAACCGAGACCTCCCAGGCCACGACTCCCTGAAAGACTCCCTATCAAAATACGCACCCATCTGAACATCATGAGTAAATGCCCAGTGAAGGGAACTTACTCCACCGGCCAGCAAGACGTTTGAATGTTAACGTGTGTTAGGAATTGATTGTTTGAAGGTCCATGGTGGAAGTTGTTCGGAGGGGCATATGCTTATTGAATTCTTGCATCTGGGAATTTGCATCCATTCATCATATGATGATTGGTCCTTGTTTTGACTGTTCATGGCAGGCTTTGGCCAGTGCTGATGCACTTTCATGGAAGACTACACTACATTATATTAAAAAGCAGCCGTGGAATGAGACTCCCTCAAGAGGTTTCGTTTGGCGGATGTCCACCAACACTTGCTTGCACGATTGTCAACTCAGCAGTCCGATCCGAAAAATGGGAGTGCATTCTGTAAAAGGGAGACCCTCCACCAATGGATCTTTGATCTTCGGGTTTTAAACAGGAGGTCTCCCTCTTGCAATACAACCCCATATCTTGACATGGGGAAACACTGAACATTTGATCATCTCTTGCTTATATCGGCATACATCCATCGTTTCAGGCTTTAGCTGCTCATATCTGGGGTTCTATCCCAAAACCATCCCAACCAAACAACCATTGAATATGCAAAGAAGGGGCACCTCTGGAGGCGCACTGGGCGTGTGCCAAACGCGGCCCTGTCCCTTGGTGTCACGTTTGTGGTTTCTATTGACTAGGAGTTTTGCTCTACTTTCGATCAGAACTTTTGAAAACCCAGGTGGTCGCTCGGGCAGAAGCACTGGGACTCGGTGCTTTTGATGGTGGGCACTCAAGCCATCACCCCAGCTGCCTGGCCACCTGCCTGATTTGGGCGATGGGGATGGGTTGAGGCTTTGATGAGAAAACCGTGTTCAAGACTCAAGACAGCATTCTTTGTGCATGTCTTTTGGTTGTTATCTAGTGCCAAGCCAGGATTCATAAGCCTCCCTGGTCAACCTCGAACATTCAGCAGCCTTGATTTTTCACCCAAATTGAAAGTGGGGTTCGCGGTTTATTTCCACCATGAATTGGTATGTTGGTGTTTAAACAACCTCCAGTTAATCACGTGACACAACCAAGTCAATTTTCTATTTCCATGTGATGAAGTAGGAGAGGTTCATTTCTCATGCTGCCATCCCCATTTGCTTCTGCTGCAACTGATCTCTGTTGGAACTCACCAATCAGGTCTTGGCTGATTGATGCTATTGATAGGCCTGCCAATTCTCTTAATATTGTGGTTTTGCAGCTGGCTGTCCATGAATTTTCCAGAAACTGTGTGTATAGTTGTGTATAGATTTCCTTTAAACGACATGAGACACTCACGAAGGGTACCTGCCCACAAGGACCGGTCCCCCCCAAAACAACTAACCATGACACCTTTAGGACTGGTCGACTTTGATTTCTTCAATGGCAGGTTCTTCATGGCAGGTGTATTCGGCTACTTTGGAACATCCATGAACTCTGGAACACTGTATGAGCCGTGCCTACATTTGTGAAGTGTCCAGAAATGTCCTGAGGAACAACTAATTACCATCTACCCAATAAACCAGGCAGACTATTCTCCTGTGCCACGTGGTTCCTTGATGTTGCCTGATTTGTTGGACGACAGTTTTGTTTTCGAAGAGTTCCAAAGGAGTTTCAAAACATTCCACCAGCACCAGCCGCAGTTGCACCCACGAAACAGTCCTTAAGGTGCTACTCAGCCAACCTCAGCTAATGTAAGCCCTGTAGGCAAAACAGTACCTCCTCCGCGCTCAGGGTGTGCCTCCGATTACCTGTTTGGAAGTGGTAGGTTTGGAAGTCTGAGGTACCAAAATTTTATTTGGATCCTTCAACTCTATGAGGGAAAGATGTCGCATCAGAAACCCATTCTGGGAGCTGCTGAACTGAACACTGCCATGCAACTGGCGCCTTCCATGCTGGTGTTATTCATCGCTTTCTTTCGGAGCAACTTCGATTTCAGCTGTTCAGAGACTTGGATGCATGTGCAGCGGGACTCTTTGTCCAAGTCAGTTCACTCAGGTTCACTCCATCTGTTCCAAGGGGAGGATCCAAAGGGAACTGCCAGGACTCAAAAACACCACTCGGAAAAGGAATTTGTTCTGAACGCCCTTGAACGAGAAGCTCACCCTCCCCACCCACCTGGCTGGCCGAAGCAAAAGGGCCCGCATTTCGCTGATTCCTGATGGGGCATCGGTGGTGAATTCGTTTGTTTTCGGGTGGCAACAGGTCGAAATTGGTTTCTGCACATGTACTTCAAAAGACCCCCGGGAAGAAGGGAAATAGACCAACAGCCACCCAGACGGCCGTGGGCTTTTCTTGCTTTTTTGGTGATTTTTCGTTTTCTACAATGCTACGTGTGGGAATGGGGTGGGGGAGGCATGTCAACGTTCGGTAGCACTTGCTACGTGAAGTGATGCTACGTGTGCGAATGGTGTGGGGTGGGGTGGTGTGGGGTGGTGAAAAAGTCGCACACATGTCCGACGCCAAAAGTAGTTGCGTAGTTTCGAACATGCTTTGAAATCACCAATTCGCCTCAGCGAAACTCTGATTTTATCCAAATCTGCATGGAATTCACAATGGTTCCAATGATGAAGTGTCGCTCACATCATTCCTAATGATTTCTAATGGAATTATGCATATATCACCCCACGGCCGTCTATGCGCCGTGGACCTAGTTCCATGGGAGCCAGGTCCCTGTCTATATGCTAGCTGACAACGTGTTGGGAAGGAAGCATCCTCAATTTGAACCAGGTAAGGCCTAGGGAAACCTGGTAAGGACCTGGCTTCGCCAAGAAACAACACATGCTAGTCACTACAGTACAAACTTGTTCCACTAGGAATTTGTTTTCAATTTTGTCTCAAGATGGTCCATGTATCACGTGCTGCACGTGTTGCTTTCCCATGGAAACGCCTTCCTTGAAGTCACCGCCTGGAGTAGGGTTTTGTGTCGCGTCTCGCTCACGCCCGTGGCGACGGTCCGCCAGGTCCGCTTGGGAATGATCTGGATGCCTGGGGAAAGTTTCAACACGTTTTGATCCTTCTGAAGAGACGACACGTTTTGAATCATCAGGGTGCTTCAGTGGAATGAAAGCCACCACCTGTTTGGTCTTCTGTTCTTAGGTCCAAAACCCTGGTCATCCGAGTCTTCGGGGCCATTCCACACGTTCTCCACGTTGGTTCATGAGATGCAGGGAATGATTGAGGCAAGGCCAAGGGCCTTGGAACTATGCATCAAGAAAGGAGAAGTTGGTGTAGTTGGGGGGGTTGGAATTGGTCTTCGCCTCTTGCTTTGCTGTCCGGAAGAAGGAGACCTCTTCCAACACACCACCATTTGGGGGCTCAAAGATTCCGCAAGTAAAGCCGCGATGGGATCGCAGGATGTCCAAGTTAGTGGAGGAAGACCCTCCTGCATAGGGTCTAGGGGCTTCAAGAGCCTCAGTTATTCCATCCCTGAGGTTTGTGTTTTTCTTCTCTCTAAGGGGCAAAAGGTAAGCACCCATGTTTCCAGGGAAGGCTCAAGCAAAGGAAGAGATCCAGAAACCACTTGAGTTGTGCCAAACACTCTGAGCATCTTAGGTGGTACAAGGGCTTACTGTACCACAATTTTTCCATCAACTGGCAAGGGTGCAGCGCACATTGAGGCTGGCACTCTGTGCCCTTCCAGGCTACTGGCTGGTGTCCCTCCGTGGCTTTTGGTCCGCCCTGGGCGCTCAAGCACTCTTCGCCTTGGGTGCAGGATTCGTAGCCTGGGGGGAATCCCTTCCTCATGCGCCCAGGATGCTTCAGAGACGTAAACTCCCTGAAATAATCATAGGGCCAACGTGGATGGGAAAATGGCCCCGAAAGGATGACCATTTTCCTTTACAAACAGGTTATTTCAGGGAGTGTAGGATCTTTTCCCCAAAGCATTGCGTTGGAGTTGTGGGAGTAGGGCAGGGCAGGGGGTTTTGGTGCAGTACAAGCAACGTATGAGATCCATCACATGAAAGGACCAGGCGCACAACACCAAGAGGTTTCACCAAAAGTCATCAAGGGGTTACCATGGGTTACCCTGTGTGGGTGTGCTGAACAGGGAGTGCAACCTATCAAGCGGCATATACTTTACTTTCCAGTGTAAGCGGGGGTTCTGGGGGAGTCAATCTTTTGAGAGTCAGACACAACGATAGATGAGTCGTGGGTTTGGAGCAGGTTGAAAAGCTTCAGGCAATGTCTCTAATTTAGTACATACCATAAAAGGCTTGACATTTTTAGCTCGGAGCTCGCACCAAGTTCGGTGCAGCTCCCAATTCTCTTCCGTCCAAATGCTTGAGTGCCAAAAATTGCAAGTGTTCCTGCAAGCTGGAATTTACCATGGTTCTTTTAGGTCGAATCACATTGAAATTGCCGGTCAGTTGTTTCTGGTCTTCCCACTTGTTCCGCACATAAACGTCGCCCCCAGCCGCGAGACGTTGCCAGGCACAGCTCCTTTCCGGTTCAAGTGCGGGTGGTGGCCATGGGCGTGAGCTACAACCTGGCTGCGGCCATCTTCGGAGGGCCCACGCCCTATATTTGTTCGCAGCTTCTGGTTCATTGGGGCGCCTTAGGGTTTGCATAGCAGAAGTTTGTTTTTGATAACCGCGACTGTAAGGGGCCGGGCGTTTATGCATATGTTTAGCTGTAGCTTTGACGTCACTGGTACTTGCAAACATACTTGATGCTACGTCATAGATGGGGTGGGGGTGGGGATCTGGGCTACGCGTATGGGGTCCGGTGAGCGCGACAAGTGCGCATTGTGTCCCTGGACCTTCGGGCTGTTCTGGGTGTTGGCGGCTTCGCTCCGCTTCGCGTGTCGCTTCGCATGTCGCTTCGCTTTTTGCTTCGATTCGCTAGATATATAACGTTAAACAAGTCTTTCGAAACTTTAGGATCGGAAAACTCATGTAGTCATATCTGTTCAAAACTGTATATCCTCCAAAAACGAACGTTCCGAGCAATCCTTACAGCACTTTAGCCCCCCTCCCCAAAAACACTCTCCGTGTAAAAACGTCAAAAGCGAGGGGAAATTACACGATTGCAAGAAAACACACTGTAAACAAAACAACAACCTTACAAACGCACGGCCTCTTAGGGGCGCGGTTACCTTTTTAAGCAAGAGCTGGATTTTGTGTGCTGTGTGTTTGGTGGAAGCCGGTTAGCAGTTTCCTTTAGAGCCCTTTGGGCTTTTTGGTTTCCTGGAAACCCGTCACCAGGTGTAGGGTCTTTTTTTGTAGACTTGAAGTCTGTAGGAGAAACATCCAGGTGGTCAGTTGGAGAGAATGCCCCATTATACATAATTTTTTCTACTTTTCAGCCGGTGGTATTGGAACCCTGAGGGGTGGCTTGTAGCGTTTAAATGTCATGGATGTCATTCCTTTTTCTTGCACTGTTGCGGCACACTGGGAATTTGTATTCAGTCTCAGTATAGAGTCAGAAAAGGCTTTCATTCTGCCTTCTTGTCACAGTTTCGGGAAAGGAGTGTGTACATGTTCCGGCACAGCCGGACAGTCCACTTGTTTTGGAGGAGAAGACGAACATATCGTACAGGTCTGGAGCATCCTGGGTGCGGTGTTGTCTTTGTTTTGAGTGTGTTCTTTTCTTTCGATGTCGGCCTGCAGTGAGCTGCAAGAGCCCAGAGTTAGTGCAACTGAGGCGTCTTGGCTCCCGCGCTGTGGCTTTTGTTTGTCTCACTGTTGTCATTTTCCTGCATGCTGGTGCTGCAATGTCGGCAAGACCGGATCAGATTAACAGGCCAGTAATGTACAGGTACCTGCTTCCGCTGTTTGCGGAGGGGCAGTCCGCAGAAGTAAAGACTAAAAGCATGTTTGCTGAACACACACACACACAGATTGTTATTTCTCAAACGCCCTGCAGCTCCACCTCTTCATCACTGGGACGGAGTTCGCTTACCGGTGACATCTGCTCTAACTCACATGGCTGTGAGTCAAAGCCAGGATACTTTAGGTTGACCTACTTGGGAGGTCTTTCCCTAGATGGTCGACTGGTCGGGCTCCTGGTTGAAAGACCCATCCAAAAGACATCCCCTTCCTGTTTGCCTCGTGTTTTTTGGCATGCAGTCTTCTATTGTTTTTCTGATCAGTTCCAGCCATGCCTTGGAAAAAGTCACACCCTGGGCCTGTTCCGTGAGGCCGACGATCGGCTGATCAACCTTTTCACGGAAGAGACCAAACGTTTGGAGTCAAAACCTGAACATAAGCAGGAAAGATTTGATTTCCTGTACAAACCGAAGGGTCTGCGGGTTCTGGTTCGTTTTCCTTCTAACCCTGAGCTGCACAAAACACCGTTTGCTTTTGAGGGATCCCAGCAATGATCCCCCGCACAGGTGTTCACTTGCTCATCGCACCGCGCGCTGGCTCCTGCCTCGTAGGTTGCCCAAAAGATCCCAAAAGTAAAGTAAAACGTGAACGCCAAGCACCCCTTTTCTGAAGGACTGTCCTGTTTTTGAGGGGATCCCATTGTCCGAGTCCATGTCTGATTGAAGTTTGGAAGATTTTGGCCATCTCGCCTGCTTTACAAAACGTGTTCAGCCGACCTGTTCAGGTGACATGTCTTGTTTGGCATCAATCCGAACCCAGGTGGAACGGCTCCAAATGGCCCAGCAGGCAGCCTCATACTTGGAGGTGGGAGCCGCGCGCGGAGAGAGCGCGCGCGGGTGGAGCCATACTTTGCAACGACTTTGGAGTTTCTTTATTGTTTGTTTCATCCAACCCGCCGCACTGGCAACTAATTGGATGAACTTATTTACACCGGTTGGAACTTTCTTAGACATCTGTGATTGACCTGCAAAGACCAAAATACAGTTGTTCCATAGTTGCATCAGATGCGAGTCCACTTGCCTGGAGATTGGGCCGTTTGGACAGCCAAATATTGGCAAGTGTTGAGCAAAGGCACAATAAAAGTAAAAGGCCTCAAAACAAATCAAGTTGTCCAACTGCTTTCGCCAGGAGCATGACCTTGTGAAGACCTTCCAGGAGATGTGGGTCAGATGTCGAAATCGTTTAAAGCCCTTTGTTCACTCGAAACCTAGAGCAGGTTGCCCATGTCATTGCAATTTTCTAGGGCCATTGGGGTGGTGTAAACAGAGGTCAACCAAGTCGACAGGCCCCACGGGTTTGCCATGGTCTCCCCCAGTCGAGAGAGATGGGTGCTACATCAGGTAGACGGTAGACGGACATTCTGATAGACGGACATGTTCGTTTTGGTAAGACAGCCAAATCAGAAGCATAGCAGCAATGCGTGAAATTGCTACATGCATGTCATTTCCCTGAGGCTTTGGAACGTGGTTCGAGATGTTTCATCTAGTCCTGGAAAACCAATCCTATTCCTATTCACTCAGTAATTACCAACATACCTTATCTCTCAGAGTTTCTAGAAGCATTGAAGGCCAAAAGGAGTCCATCATGGTACGTTCAAGCAATCAGAAAACACTTCCCACACCCGCCACACCCCCCCACACCCTCTCTCACAAACCACTTGATTCACCCATCTTCCCCGAGCTCCACCCATCTTCGTGTCCTTTTTCAGTCGCCTGAGAGCGAGCTGGATACCGTGTCTTCCGTTATACCTCAGTGTATTGAGAATAGACAGTGTATACCGTTATATACCGATTATATACCGTTATATACCGTTATGTACCATGGGGCGTTATGCTTTGATTTGTTTTTGTCAAATACTAAAGGCCGTCATCGATGATCTCGGCACCAAGCCAACACCCCGCGTCGGTCGGTCGGACCATTGCGGGGTGTTGGTGTGATCAACATCTGTCAAGCTCCATCGTTCGTTTCAGTATGTGCTGGTGTAGGCAATCCAATCTTTTGGATGTTTATCGGGTTCATTCTTTGGGGTGTCAATGGTGTGACTTCAACCGATCTGGAGAAGTTGGCTGCAACCACTTTTGAGACACAAAGGGTATTTTGAGTTTGATGTATCAGCTATCATGCATGATTCGCCTTGACAAACAGCTATCATGTGGGAAACAGCTATCATGCATGGCAAGCCATACTTACCATCAAAACTAATCAATCTAAGGGGCGGAATTCGGCGGCCCAGGGCTGAATTTGCTGGACACCAGTTGTTGAAACGTGATGCCGATGCCACCACAACATAAACAGTGCTATCATGACATGATAGTCTCCAAGGCAAAAAAAACACTGGACTATATGAGGCGCGGTGAAACGACTGCAACAAGTGCAACAGTTCCTTAACATTGAGTTCATGAATCTTTCAAATCAAAAACACTGCCATTATAGACATGCTAAAGAACAGCGAGACGCCGGGCAAAACATTGATGTTTGGAATCACATCCCCAAGATCCACCTCAGACACGTTTATCCATTGAAGGGGCATGAGCACCTGGACAAATCCATAGGTTCCAATTTTTGCCAAGGTCCTTTCTTGGGAGTGGCTGACATGTTTGGCTCCAAAGGGCCAGAAGTTGGTACTGCCCGAGGTTCCAGGACCGAAGCGACGAAGCGATCGCCGACGATCGGCAGGAGATCCTCCACGGGTTGATCGTCACCAAACCTGCAGATCCCCACCTCTACGTGGAGGCGAGGTATGGGCCAGGTGGCTGACATATCCAACAAAACACCGGTGTGGCGAGATTTGTTGTTCGCTTCCTTGATCTGGCTGAAGGCAAAACACACATGCAACAAAAGCATGTATCAATTGTTCACATTGTCTGATCATCCTGATGTCTTTGGCTCTGACACCACTGTCTCTCCGGAGGTCCAGGGGATGGTTTCACCGTCCGTCGCCTGGAGGAAGTGCTTCCCTTCACTGCTTCGGAAGGCTTTGAACGAACACCCCGGTTTCGGATCCTTTCGGTTCATCAGTCGAGACACCATGAGACACCACACTCCACATGTGGAAGAGTGACCCTGTGACCTATATATTATGCAAGCGTTGTCCTACATTGACCCCTTTTCAACCACCCCAATGTATGATATGATATGTCTGTATATACCATGTTGATTTGTCGTGTTTGGAGCGACCATCGCCCTTCCGGTCAAGCCCGGTCGGCGGGTTTTCTGCGACGACCTGGCGCCCAGGCGCATTTGGCCAAGGCACGGAAACTGGTGGGGGCCCCTGGAGAGGATCGGAGAGGTGCCGGAGAGCCGGATTGGATTCTCCATTTGGTTTCTAAGTTCTTCTGAGAGAAGAGAAGAGTAATGTGCGATCCTGATTAGTAAAGGGGCCCCCCCCCTTCAAACAAACAGGGGACCCTCTATAATAAACTATCACCAAAACAAATCTGGATTCCTGGTGAGGGATCTTTTGTAATTGATTGTAGTATTCATTTTCCTTTCATAGATTGTATTCAGCTTCCTTTCTCAGGTGCTTTGTAATTGTTCTTAGCAATTGCTGTCAGTATTGAAGAAACCTAGAGAGAGCTATATCAGCTAATGAATCATAATCATTGGCCTCAGGAGCTGGGTAAAGGGAGATTCCATGCGCTTTTTTTCCAGTGGAAAAAACTTTTCACAATTGAGGACCCAAAAACAAATTTATTATTGAGGATCAGGTGCCTTCCTGGTCTACCACCTAGAAAATTTGTTTAGGAGCAATGTTTTATA